GTAGAGTGTTGTTTCGTTGACTGTGTGTACTGCTGCTGTGCACACACAAAAAGGTGGGAGTCTCCCCAGTTCATCAGCTTACCATAACTGTTGCCGCTTTTACATAGCAGGGCCTAGGAGATGCTTCTTTCCTAACAAACACGTTTGCCTTTCCTTTTGTTTGTTTTTTAACTTGATGATTGTGTTTATTATCTTTTCTATCTCTGTGTGATCAAATGATGTCGCAGTTCAAGTGTGCATCACTGTGGATGAGAACCTGAGAGAAAAGATCTGCAGTCAAAGGACAGTGACTAAACTTGCCCCTCCTGAGGAGAAGGAATCCTTACCGAAGTACAGTACAGGTAAATAAACTGGGCTGGATATGTTTTTCTTCTGGTCCTCTCAAGTGTGGTTCTCTTTTTACAACATAAACAAATACATTCATGGTTCCCCTTTTGCTGTCTTTAGCCCTCTTCATTTGTGAAATAGTTAATTATTTTTAGCTGTAATTTTTGGTATACATTATCAGATAAAATTGACATTTGAAAAACCCTTTAAGACATTCTTAATGACCGGTATGAATAACAGGAACAGGAAAATAAAGAGAGACCAAAGGTTTTTAGTGGTTACCAGCAACACGAGGGAAAGAGGGGTTATCGTTTACAGGGAAGTGAGTGTTGGTTTTATGATGAAGAGAAAATCGTGTGAAGGGTAGGGCTGTAGACCTGATGTATATAATTGCTGTCAGTCTGCTGTACACCTATACAAAGTTGCATGCTGGATACATTGTAACAACAAAGCTGCTGAGGCTGTTTGTGTACAACCAAACACCTGAGGAGATTTGGTTCTTTGCTTTGGATGTTTAGTGTCATGGTTTCATGGGACATCTCAGTTAATGGTCCTAATACCTGGCTTAGTGCTTCTATTCTGCTTCCTGGGTTTGTTGTCTGGTGACTGGGGTCTTAAAAGTGTTCAAGGGGGTATGCAAGACACAATCATTGCTTTGTATCCACCTGGAGCAACCGAAAAAGAAGAGGAAATAGGATGGGTGGCTAATTACTTTCCTGAACTGGAAAAACTGGATGGTGCTCAGCCACAATTTCTCAACATTTTGGTCAAAGATTCTATAGGAGAATCCTGATCAAAAGGAGGGGATACAGAATGGAATTTCAAATTTTCCTGGACTCCAGATTTTCTGGAGACATCAAGGCTAGATAAATTCCTGAAACTATTGCCCTGAGATAATCTTTAAATCTCAAAACCAGAATTATCCCTTGAAGTCTTCTTAAGACCATACAGTAATTTAACTCATAAAAAAAGTCTGCCTTTCAAGGTCTCACTGTATGGGACCAAATTGACCACATCGACTTGGAAAATGACTTATGGAAGTTAGTGTATGCGAATGGAAAAGGAACAACTGGGGCAGGGGCAAAGAGTATGAGAAAGGGTTGCCCAAATGGAAGGAGGTAAACAGTGTCCTGAGTTGCCTATGCAGAAATTGTTCAATTAGTGTACGTTCTGCTGTGTATATTCGCAATAGCACAAAAGTAAAATAAAATATTTTAAAATGCCTGCACTAATACATTTACATGAGGATTAATTTTGGCTCTCAGAGATGAAAATAAAAACAAAATAACTGGCT